GTTTGGTGTGACGGGGATTCGAACCCGCGACTCGCAGATTACGTGTCGAGCACCCTAACCACCTGGCCATGCCGGGCCAATAAACATAATGTGTTTGAAATACAGTTCTTCATTATTTTGTATGCGTGTTACCTTTGAAGGATATTTTGAAGTACAATGTCACACACACACACACTTCAGCTTCAAAAGAACTGACTGACACACACAGCCGAAGATGAGGTTGTGTAACAGTGGGAGTAAATTAGTGTAATTGTAGTGTAATTCGTTCTTTTTAGATGAGTTGTAATTTCTCTGAAAAACAATTACATATGGTAGCTTGCAAAACCTCACAGATTAAATGTATTTATAGATGTACTATTCCTGAACGATGCGTTATTTTGCACTGATCGTTTCAGTGAACTATGAGAATGGAGTCCCGTTTGAAATAATCCAATTGGTTCACTTCATCAAGAAGCCCCCCCCCCCCCCACGTGGCACAGCCGTATGTCTGTGGACTTACAACGCTAGAAACCGGGTTTCGATACCCGTAGTGGGCAGAGCACAGATAGCCCTTTGTGCTTAATAATAAACAACAACACTTCATCAAGAAACCATTCGACAGAAGAAGAAACCAGCTCAATAATATAAACTCATTAAATGATTCAGAAACTCTTGAATCCGGTGTAATGATCATTCTGAAATTTCCAACTCAGATCTACACACAAAAAATCCACATAATAACAAATAATGATAATAATGATCATTATTACTTTTACTGCACTACAGTTACCGTACTACTACAACGACTGTTGTGGTGTAATTAGACGGTTTACCATTTTATTCATCTTCACTATCTACAGTTGACAGGTTTTCGTAAGATTGTTGGCTAAATTATGTTAAATAGTTCGTATAATGGTGTTTCCTCCTGTATTTATAATAAAATGTACTGTAATATTTTGTCAACCTATATCTTGTGTTTAAGAAGCACAGCTACCAAGACAACCAACTTCAGATTGAATATCTAGTCGTTTTCCGTTCAAATATCCTTTCACAACCAAGTGCTTACGTCTGGATGTGTCGGTTTCAAATGTACTGTAATATTTTATCAACCTATATTTCGTGTTTAAGAAGCACAGCTACCAAGACAACCAACTTCGGATTGAATGTCTAGTCGTTTTCCGTTCAACTAACGTTTCGCAACTAACAAATATTTAGAATAGACTCATAAACTGACCGAATCAGTAAAATGAACCGAAATGGAGTTTATTGGGATTCGTATGGTGGTTTGTGGCAGAAAAGGCGGATAATACGTTTGTATACTACGTTATAGAAGAAACATTTACATATTCAAAAATTTTGATATGTTTCCTACATACGGGTAAGTATAAGAAATAAGAGTTCTGTACTTCTACATGTAACGATACTTTTTATAGTATCATTATGATGGTACTTTTACACGTAACGATACTTTTCATAGTATCATTATGATGGTACTTTATACACGTAACGATACTTTTCATAGTATCATTATGATGGTACTTCAACACGTAACGACACTTTTCATAGTATCATTATGATGGTACTTCTACACGTAACGATACTTTTCATAGTATCATTATGATGGAGCTTCTACACGTAACGATACTTTTCATAGTATCATTATGATGGTACTTTTACACGTAACGATACTTTTCATAGTATCATTATGATGGTACTTCTACACGTAACGATACTTTTCATAATATCATTATGATGGAGCTTCTACACGTAACGATACTTTTCATAGTATCATTATGATGGTACTTCTACATGTAACGATACTTTTCACAATATCATTATGATGGAGCTTCTACACGTAACGATACTTTTCATAATATCATTATGATGGTACTTCTACATGTAACGATACTTTTCACAATATCATTATGATGGAGCTTCTACACGTAACGATACTTTTCGATGTTTGTGATTTGATCAATCAAGAAAAAATGGAAATTTTCTGGATATTTAACGTCACTGAATTACAGAAAAGCTAATTATGTCGACTTTCATTTTCTTTTCCACTTTCAGTTGTCCGTCAAGAGTTTGTTACAATTCTTAATCGTTCCCTCGCTCAGTTTTAGCTTTCATTTCAAATAATGTATCCATCATCGTCTATACTTTAATAGTTTGATGAAACATTCTCTCGACATCATCGTACATACATACCCGTCACACCATCTAATATATTTATTTATATATTTATATTTGACATTCCTTTATCTAGAACATATATTTTATATGGGCGTCCAAAAAGTTACGTTTACAAATTTATTCACATTTATTTGTTAACTAGTGTCCAGCCAGCTTTGCTTCGTCATGATTTTCCATTGTGGTATTTCCCATGAATAAGGGTTTTCTTATAGAGCAACCAGTTAGGCCCATTGTAACTGGAGGTTTGGAAAATACTGGACTATGGAGTATGTCGATCTCCCTGATCTACAACTGGGATCGTCTAGAAGAAATACTTGTCATCATAAAAAGTATAAGTATACAAATGTTTATGAACAAAACACACTCGCAATACAATTGCAAAAACAAAATGAGGGCAAGTGTCTAGTGGAGTGAGTTGAATTGATAAGACATGTGTGAAAAAATCTTTAATAATATCGGCTTAGTGTGTTTTCCTCTTGTAAGTTAAACTAACAAACATGAAAACCCCAAGAAAAACCAAAGTTAAATTGGTATTTTAGAAATAATTAAACGAGTAACTAAACCTCTCCATGAGATTTCGAACAATCACAACCGAAGATGAACACACGTTCTCTGAAGGCTGGATGATACTGTCCTTCAACATCCACGTTATTTCAACACTGTCTCTTATGTTTTATTGGATCTTAATTACAGGTTTTAATGTGGTGATGTGTAACATTGGTTTTTTACTCGATTGGCTGCCTGATTTGACAAACGCATTAGTATATTTATCTAGCAAGCTACTGAGACTCAACCATAGAACTGAATCTAGATTACTGTTATCGGGTGTGCTGGGAACCAAGCATCCATTTTTGGACATAGCGCGATGGAAGTAACACCAACCTTACAGCTGCCATCAGTTGCCACTATTTCGCTTACTGCTCCAGTGACCATTCCAGTAGGACGCTGGAGCACCAACAGTCCGTAGTTGAAGAGCATAACTCGGACTGCATCCCTCAATGGACAGCTCACTATCCATGCTGCTACTTCCTGCTTTTTTTGGATAGACAGCAGTGAGTCTAATGTATTGATTCTTCTACCACTTAACGTAGTTCCAACACACTTGATCTCATCCACAGTAAACCATGGAACACCATTTGTGTGAATGGAAGAACCGTAATTCTTTCTGGCTGGTATACTCGAGCAGTCCACTGTCAATTCACCTGTTTCACAGCTAAAGGTTGCTGTGAATTTTTACAGTACATTCATACCCAGTATGGTGATACCAAAATCAAGACTTGCTAGTATTATCTTTGTCTTTTATATTCC